GAGCATGAAAGATCATTTGTCTCGAAAGCAGATGTGCCAAGAACAGATATAAGTATCCAGTCTGAACATTCTCAAGTAAACAAAGATTTGACTTCAGCTGATGTTCAACCTGAACAAGAAATTAGCTTTACAATAAAGGTGCAGCAAATGAAGACTAAAATGCCAGTGGATCTCGTGGCTCAGTGTGAATCTACTCAAGCTGCACTTTTTCAGCCAGGTGAAGCAAAGAAAACACAATCTGCAGAAATAAGCTTACCTGAACAAGACACTGCAGAACCACAAACAATGATTGCACTAGAGACCTTGAAAACTGCTAGATCAGTGGAGGTGAAGGATTACAACATGAAACAGGATGTCCCCACAAAAGATGTGCTTGATTCACTCAAAAACTTGGATGAAAAATCAGTTGCAATAAAGCAAATTCAAGTGGAGCCTCAAGTGAAAATTTTACAGCTGGATATACCAATCAGTCAAAAAGAACAGGAAAAGATATTTGTGAAGACATCAGCAGAACCAAAACCAGATACAGCTCATTTAAGTATCCAGCGTGAAAGGGAGCTGGGAAATAAAAATGATACTTCAGCTGAGGTTACACAGGAGACTGAATATATAATCAAAGTGCAACAAATCACCACTGATAGACAAGGGGATGTGACTCAGAGCGACTCAGGTCCACCAGCTGAAGTAGGGATAGCTTCTGCAGAAATAAACTTATCAATGCAAGAAACTGTAAAACTAGAACCAGTGACTGAGCAAGAGCTCTTGAAAACCACAAAGCATAGATCTACTGTGACTAAGGGACTTGTGATCCAAGGTGAGCAGCCCAAACCAAATGAACTGGATGACATACCCATGAGCCTGGATGACAAGACGATTACAAAAGAGAAAGTCCAGGGGGAGCCTGAGGTCCTTGTTTCACCAACCAGCCAGGAGGAGGATAAAAGAACATTTGTTGTGGTAACAGATGTACCCAGAGCAGATGTAGCTCATTCAAGTATCCAGTCTGAAATCATTGCAGTAAACAAAGATTTGACTGCCGCTGAAGTTCAACCTGAGGAAGCTGCTAGACCAGAAGATGTGGCGCAGAGCGATTCCACTCAACCTTCTCTGCTGCAGACACGTGAACCAGAGACAGTCTCTGCAGAAATTTGCTTATCTGAAAAACATGCTGTAAAACCAGAACTGGTGACTGAGCAAGAGCTCTTGAAGACCACAGACAGCAGAACAGACATGTCTCAAATAAATATCGAATGTGATTCAGAACTTGAAAAGAAAGATGTGAGTCCAGCTGATGCTCACCCTGGGGAGGCAACAGTTGGAATGGAGGTGCAACAAATCAGCACTGAAACACAAGAAGATGTAGCTCTGGTGGACTCAACTCAACCTGCAGTGCTGCCGCCAAGAAAAATAGCATCTGCAGAAATTAGCTTACCTGAGGGAGAAGCTGTACAATCAGAAACAGTAACTGAGCAAGAACTCATGAAAACTACACAGTTCTCCACAAATGTTGTGCTTGATTCACCAAAAAG